CAGTCGACCACGCCTGCCTGCGTCGCTCACATCCGAAAAGCAGAGATCGGCCGCGCCGTGGAGGCCGCCCCCAGGCGAGCGGCGGAGGCTGCGAGGAGTGTGGGGCGGGGACTCGTCCGCAGCCACCGCCGGGGGGACCGACGTCCTGGGCCCCCAGGGGGCCGTAGGTCTGGACATGCTTGGCCTCCGTCTGGGCCGCAGGTGCCCAGATCTGCCGAGGTCCCAGCAGGTCGACGCCCCCAGGGTCGGCGGCGAGCGAGGGGGGGGGAAGCGAGAAGGAGAAGGCCTTCTCAGAAGGCGGCGGGACTTCTCAGAAGCCCCCGCGCCTCCTGAAAACGTCTTTTTGCTTGTCTTCGGGGAAGGCTCAGCAAACTTCTCAGAAAGCCAGGGGACTCCCGCACCTTCTGAAAAGGCCTGCTCCTTCTCACCTGCCACCCCCCGCGCGCCGCCGACGGGCGGTGGCTCTGGATGACACCCCGCGTCGGAAGGCAGGGGACGAGGTCGGCCGCGCCGCGGAGGCCGCCCCAGGGAGCGACGGAACACAAAGCAGCAGGGGGAGGAGGTCTCACGCACAAGGTGCTTATTTTCCTTTATGTTCCTCAGTTGGGTTTGTTCCTCGGTTCGGGTTTTTCCTCGGTTTGGGTTTTTCCTCGGTTTGGGTTGTTCCACGGTTTGTTTTCGGCTTCCTCGGTGAAGAAGGAGTCTCGGGGCCTGCCCTGGATGGGCACGCACTTAGAATCCTTCCCCCAAGCAGCGCTTTCATTAAAGGGTTTTGGATTTTGCTCGAAAAAACGGGGCCGTGTCTTTGGTTTGGCGGCTGTGGCTGGCGACGGGCGGCACCGTCCGCGAAAGCCGCCACAAGTCCCGAAATGGTTAAACCCAATCAACCATTTTTTGAAAAACGACAACGCGAATTGTTGTATATTTTCATCCGGATGCGCGCATGCCAGAATCGCTCGAACGTCCTCGCGTGCATGCTGTCGCGAGATCCCAGTGCAAAAAAGCAGAGCGAAGTCCGCGCGCGCAGAAGCTTCGCGTCGCGCACGGATGTCGTAACCGAGTGTCAACAACAAACACGTGATCTTGCAACGGCGTCCGCCTCAGACTTAACATGTTTATATATGTATAAACATATAAGCATATACAAACAAGAAATTGCGCGCGCGTTTTACCGAACTCCTCAGAAAACCATCGGTTTCCCACATTTTCCCCAATTCAACCAGACGGGCCTCTCGCGCCGCATGTCCAAAACATTCGAACGCCCTTGCTCGCGTGCTGGGGGGGGGGGGGGACGATCGCTTTTCGAATGACGCAAGTCGGGCCGCTCGCGCGCGTCGGCTGCGCGCGCATGTCGATGTTTCGTCCAAAATCTGCATCACTGACGCGAAGACGCCGTCATCGTCATCGGCGTGATCTGCATCGGCGCCGTTATTGGCCTTGCCGTCGTCATCGTCATCATAGTCATCATCACAGCTACGATCATCATCGCGTCTGCCGTTGTCGACGTCGCCATGCTACCGCGCTCACCCGAACTACCGACTCGCACTCAAGTGCCCTCTGGCGAATGAGCGCACGGCGGTCAGCGCCACCGCGGCCGCGTCGGTCGCGCCAAAGTAGCCGGCTGCTGCGCGCGCGAGCTCGCGCGGGTTAGCGAAGCCGCAGACACGCACCAGCCAACGCCACGCACTAATCACAATCACCGACGCACGGGTTTTGTAAAGCAAGTTGCGGGTGGGCGCGCGGGGCGCTTGCACGAAAACTACAGCATTTATTCAAACATATTGTCCTTTCCAGAAGGGGAATGGGATCTACCCTTCCCCTCCCCCCCTCCCTCCTCCTTTTCGTGTTGCAATATGGATACGATTCTGCCCCATCGTCCATCCTAAGTATGAGCTCGTGACATACCAGGCACGCGGGTATCCGCACCCCCCCGCCCCGAGCGAAAACAAAAATGCGCGTGCACTCGTTCATCACAAATCATCGATGTTCATAAATCCCTTGCAAAGGCGGGCGAAGTGCACGCACGCGCGTCGTCGCGAGCGCGTGCCAAAATCCTTCAAAAACTTTGGCGCCAAGAAGATTTCAAAATCTGGCGCCCCGAAAACCGATAAACACAACGGCTTCGCAACAAGGGTTTCGGAAACAAAAACAAAAGCGCCCGCGCTCTGGTGAATTCGGAATAAACAATATGTCCAACATGTTCATGACATGCTACCGGGCGGGCCTCTCACGCGCGCACGTCGAAGTCGTTTGAACGCCCCTGCACGCGTGTTGTCGCAAGACCTTCCGGCAGATACACTACACGGAACGTGCGCGCGCGTCGTCGCGCGCACGCGCCGAAATCCTGCAACACGTTAGGGATCCTGCAACACGTTAGGGTTCGTCGGGATTGCAAAAACCGAATGCCCCCCAAACATACATGTATACACATATATAACAGAATGGCTTGGCAGCGAACGTGTTCAAAAAACGCTTGCGCTCGCGGACTTGCGAATTCTTGCGGAAACCATCGATTACTTAGCATGAGCAATACATTCTGCCAAACTGGCCTCTCGCGCCGCACATTAAAATCATTCGGACGCCCTTGCGCGCGCGCTGGGGGAGGGGGCGCGATCCGCGTCAAAACATACCCTGCGGGGCATTCTCGCGCGTCGGCCGCGCGCGCATGCCGAATGCCTTCTCAAACTTGCATCGCCGATGCGAAGGCGCCGTCATCGTCGTCGGCGTGATCGGCATCGGCGCCGTCGCTGGTCCTGCCTCCGTCGCTGTCATCATCGTCACCAGCATCGCTACAACCATCCTCGCGTCTACCAATGTCGGCGTTGCCATGATGCCGCGCTCGCCCCTGCCGCCGACTCGCACTGAAGCGCCCGCTGGGGAGTGCCCAGCGGTCAGTGCCACAGCGGCCGCGTCGGTAGCGCCAAACTATCTGGCCGCTGCTCGCACGAGCATTCGCGGACTAGCACGGCCGCAGAGGTGCACCAGCCAAATCCAAACACTCATCACAATCGCCGCCGCATGTGTTGCGCAGCCCAAATTACTGGTGGGTGGGTGGGATGATTGTGCGAGTAGCGGAGTGGACAACTCACTGCGAACAGAAATAAAGTGCACCACATAGATTGCACCGCGTATATTGCTTTGCGTAGTCTGCTACAACATACCGTTCGGGGCCCACGCCGGCCAATATTCTCGCCGCAACAAGATCCGTCCGGATGCCGGAACAATATTGGCATCAAACCAATGTACGAAAGCAAAACGGACTGAGCCGGAATCGTTCCAGGAACATGTCGTGCAAACCGCAGACAAAGGCTTTTTCATAATCCTCCAGTGGCCCCGTGGGCAAGCCAAGGCGCCTCGCCACTGCTCAAAATCAACAATTTTGGACGCCCGAAATGGGTACCGAAAAAATGGGTACCATGCCCAACAGCAAATGTTGTCCCAAACCAACAGCGGCCGCTGCTGGGCGGGCGGCCTCCTGTTTCAAATGGACACAGGCCGCGGCGGCGCGGACAGCGGATCCTGTTCAAAATGAACAGGAACTGCTGTTGGGCATCGTACCCATTCTTTCGGTACCCATTTCGGGCGTCCAGAAAAATCAACACTGCCCCGCCTCAGCCGCCCAGCCGGCTCCAAGATTCAGTGGCCATGCGTAATGGCTCACGCGGGCCGCCCCACGGCGGCGCGGCGCGTGGGAGCGCGAGCGAGCTGCGCCCGGCATCCACTCTTCCCCGTCGCTCACAAGTGGGCCCCGAGCGGACGGGGTTGGAAGATCGCCCCGCGTCGCCGACGCATCGGCGAGGCATCGGCGACGCCGGAGTTTTTTTTTTGACGATGCGAATGACCTCTATTTTTTTTGTTTAGTTGCATCGGCGACGCCGGAGTGGCACAGATCGCGGGGCGTCACCGATGCGCTGGCGATGCGGTGCAGTCTTTCGGCCCCGTCTGCCCCTCTGCTCTGACACCGTCGGGGCGGCCAGGTCCACACCCGGGCGCGCGCTCACGGCGAGCCGACCGGGACATCGGGGGCGTCCAAGAGGGGGGCGTCCAAGAGGGGGGGCACGCACCATGGCCCGACCCACGTGCGCAGCCAGGTGCGGACCAAGGGGCGTAAAGTCGGACCCAAAGCAGAAGATGGCAGAACAGCGTCCTTCAAGAACACGAGACCCTCCGCCGGTCCAACTCGCAGAACCTTCGAGGGTACCCTCGACCAGGATGCACAATATCCAACAGACACGAAGAACAGTAGGGTACCCTCCCCAGACCGATCTCGATCTTACACCTCGGTCCGACCGTATTGAAATAAGAATAGGGGCCACAAGATCCAGGGAGATGTCATGGTCCCCGCCACGAAATACCCTTAAGTCGGGCATGTCCCCCGACAGCGGGATTTTGGACGAAACATAAGAAAAGTCAAAATACACCCCCAAATAACCAAAAATAGACTAGAAAGCGTATTCCTCCCCTCCCGTAGAGGGACAAGCCCGACTTAAGAACAAAAACCCAAGACTCATTATCGCCCCCCCTTGGCCAGCCACGAAAGCACCCAACCCCTGAGATCCAACGGCGCGACACCGTTGAGACACCGCGAAACGTCACCAACGGAGCCCTTGACCCCAAGGACTCTGGTCTACGCCAGCGTCGTCGTCGTCGCCGCCGCAGTTGTCGATGTCGTCGTCGTCGTCGTCGCCGTCGTCGTTGTCGTCTTCGTCGTCGTCGTCGTCCTTCAAGGTCGGCGGCACTGGCCCTAAGGCCTTCGCAATCACCACCGGAGCCCTAGACGCAATCGTCGAGTTGGATCAACCTGTGTGGGCCCCAGAGCCCCCGACCTGTGAGGGCCCTGGAGCCCCTAGCCTGGCGAAAACGCCCTGCTCGAAAAATACTGAGACGCCAAGATCTCAGGGACGCCTCACCCCAGCCCGCAGGACGAGACCGGGGAGCCAGGCCGGCGCAGACGATGCCGCCGCCGACCCGGATGCCTCCGCCCAAACTCCGCCGCGTGCTCACGGCGAGGAGCCCACCAGCACGCCGGGCCTCACCTGGGGAAACCACAAAGGCACCGATACCGCTCCTCCCCGGACCTCTCCCGGGGCGCGGTCTGACCAGGACTTCGAGGCGAACTCAGCCGCGCCGCGGCGACGCAGGGCCTCCCGGGAGGCCCCCGGAGGCGGAAAGACGAGGGAGGGCAGCGGCATCGGCAGCGGTCCCTCCTCGGATCACCCCCGCCCGCCGCTCGATGTCCTCCGCGAGGCGCACGAGGATGCGGCGGGCCAGCTGCTGCGCGAAGCGCCGCGAGAACGCGGAGGCGCCTGGCGCCACCGTCGGCAGCAGCCCCGTCGCCAGCGGCTGCAGCCTCTGCAGGTCCCGCGCGGTGCTCACCTCGGGGGTGGCCTCCCTTTCGTAAGCCTCTCCTTAGTGAAAACGGCCTGTGACCGAAACCGACGGACCTGGACCCGCAAAAACTGACGGCCGCGACGCCCTCTCGCGAACCGAAAACGGCCAATTCCTTGATCGACGTGTCAGGGTAGGGGGTCTATCAACCTCCGATCACCAGGTCGTTGCCGGTGCGCTCTGCGCGCGCTTCGGCGGCGGCGGCGCCCGGGGCCTGCACCAGCTGGGCGATCCTCGGGGGCAGCCGAGGGCAGGAACGTTTGCACAGCGAGTCGCGGCGGCGGCCCCGGCGACATGCTACAGCCAACACTGACAGCAATGAAGGTGCCCAGGGACATACAAATACATAGACACAAATAATAGGATTCCCAATATTTTTCCAGTATTTTCTGGGTTGTCGTCTTCCCCCCCGAATTTTTCAATATTTTCCTGGGGGTCGGCGATTAATTGTGTCTGTGTGTTTCTTTCCCTCCCTCCTGAAGTAAGGATGAACGGTAAGGTTGCAAGGGCATTGGAAGGCCATGCCGACACTTTTCGAGTAGGGCGCGGCCAACGAGAGTGGCCAAGGCTGGGCCGAAGGGAAAAGATGCAAAGGAAATCTCGGAAAGCCGCTCATCCTTACTAGCAGTGTCCACTGTACGCCCTGCGAGCGCATGGACGTTGACGCCGGGGGGCTGGGACATGGATAGCGTGTCGCGCCGAGGCGTGGTGGGCCAATGCCGGCGGAGCGACACGCTGAGCCAAAGTTCCCGGCCGTGTATGTTCGCGCTGCGTGCGACGCGAACACTTTCGTGCTCTCGCGCCGCCCCTCGGGGGGGAGAAAAGCAGGGCGAGGAGGATGCGCACGAAGAAACCCGAGATCCGACGCTTCGGCAAAAATGCAACATCGCCAGCAATCACAACTGGAGAACTAGACTTAGAAAATCCAGGGTTCGGTAGGGATTGGTTCCCTTCCAAAACAACCGAAGCCCTTCCGAAACCCTCCGAAAACCCACCTGGAAGGGTTCTTGGAGGCTTTGCGGAGGATTTCGGGAGGGTTTGGGAATGCTTTTCGTCGTTTGGGGTGGGGAACCAGTCTCTATTTCGCTATTTTCCGAGCCTGATCGATCTGTGAGGGTCCTCGGGCCCGACACCAAGTGAAAACGCCTGGCCTTACGTCGGGCCTGTCCCACTACAGGCGGATTTTGGAAGAAAAAATACACCACAAATATTCAAACATAGTCAACAAATAATCCAATCATCGTCACAAACTATGTTTCCAAACCGTTCTGTAGAGCTGGGTCCTCATTTTGAAGAGACAGCGCCCCGCGTCTCCTCCTCTCCCCTCCTCCTCTCCTCCTCCTCCCCCTCCTCCTCCTCCTCCTCCCCCTCCTCCCATCAGCCTCGTCACCTCCCTGTGTTTCACCCAGCCAGGACAACGTTTCGTGGCACCATAAGGAGCTCCACAGAAGGCCCCAGTGGCAAAGTTCGCATGCGTCCCCCCGCCCATTTCGGCACACCCTTCGCGAGGATCGTGGCCCCATAGGGAGCTCCACCGAAGGCCCCAGTGGCAAAGTTCGCATGCGTCCCCCCGCCCATTTCGGCACACCCCTCACGAGGATCGTGGGCCCATAGGAAGCTCCACCGAAGGCCCCAGTGGCAAAGTTCGCATGCGTCCCCCCGCCCATTTCGGCACACCCTTCACGAGGACCCTCACGAGGATCGTGGCCCCATAGGGAGCTCCACCGAAGGCCCCAGTGGCAAAGTTCGCATGCGTCCCCCTGCCCATTTCGGCACAACTCTCACGAGGATCGTGGCCCCATAGGGAGCTCCACCGAAGGCCCCAGTGGCAACGTTCGCATGCGGTCCCTGCCCACTTCAGCACACCCTTCACGAGGATCGTGGCCCATAGGGAGCTCCACCGAAGGCCCCAGTGGCGACGTTCGCATGCGGTCCACCGCCCATTTCGGCACACCCCTCACGAGGATCGTGGGCCCATAGGGAGCTCCACCGAAGGCCCCAGTGGCAAAGATCGCATGCGTCTCCCCGCCCATTTCGGCACACCCCTCACAAGGATCGTGGCCCCATAGGGAGCTCCACCGAAGGCCCTGGTGGCAAAGTTCGCATGCGTCCACCGGCCTATTTCGGCACACCTCTCACAAGGATCGTGGTCCCACAGGGAGCTCCACCGAAGGCCCCAGTGGCAAAGTGTGCATGCGTCCCCCCGCCTATTTCGGCACACTCCTCACGAGGATCGTGGGCCCATAGGGAGCTCCACCGAAGGCCCCAGTGGCAAAGTTCGCATGCGTCTCCCCGCCCATTTCGGCACACCCCTCACGAGGACCCTCACGAGGATCGTGGGCCCATAGGGAGCTCCACCGAAGGCCCAAGTGGCAAAGTTCGCATGCGTCCCCCTGCCCATTTCGGCACACCCCTCATGAGGATCGTGGCCCCATAGGGAGCTCCACCGAAGGCCCCAGTGGCAAAGTGTGCATGCGTCCCCCCGCCCATTTCGGCACACCTCTCACGAGGATCGTGGGCCCATAGGAAGCTCCACCGAAGGCCTCAGAGGCGACGTTCGCGTGCGTCCCCCCGCCCATTTCGGCACACCCCTCACGAGATCGTGGGCCCATAGAAAGCTCCACCGAAGGCCCCAGTGGCAAAGATCGCATGCGTCTCCCCGCCCATTTCGGCGCACCCCTCACGGGGATCGTGGCCCCATAGGGAGCTCCACCGAAGGCCCCAATTGCAAAGTTCGCATGAGTCCCCCCGCCCATTGCGGCACACCCCTCACGAGGACCGTGGCCACATAGGGAGCTCCACCGAAGGCCTCAGTGGCAACGTTCGCATGCGTCCCCCCGCCAATTTCGGCACACCCCTGACGAGGATCATGGGCCCATAGGGAGCTCCACCGAAGGCCCCAGAGGCAAAGTTCGCATGCGTCCCCCCGCCCATTTCGGCACACCCCTCACGAGGATCGTGGCCCCATAGGGAGCTCCACCGAAGGCCCCAGTGGCAAAGTTCGCATGCGTCCCCCCGCCCATTTCAGCGCACCCCTCACGATGATCGTGGCCCCATAGGGAGCTCCACCGAGACAGGTACCCACAACGCGGTACTCACAGCTGCATATGGTTGGGTCCTTCGCCAGGATAGTTTGACTATGTTTGAATGTTGCTCCTGTAGAGGGACAGGCCCGACTTAAGCCTGGCCCGAAAGCACCGGCCGCGAAAAACTGCGCGCCTCGTGGCGGCCCGTGGGTCCTCCGCAGCACCAGCAGCGCCTCCTTGTCCTGCCTGGCCAGCAAGCGGTCGCCGCGTGCACCTGGGGGGCACAGGAGCTCTCGCAAACGGGTGCCGTGTCTGCCTCGTTCGTCGTCGTATCGGGGGCGCGCAAACATGGATTAGCGATCCATTTATTTGGCGCGCGGCCGCCAAATCCATGGATCGGGGGAGGCGCCCTCCCCAGGATGCGGCCAGTGCCGCCTCGCTCGGCGGCGGAAATCCGCGATTTCCAATGGAAACGGGACCCGTCGCCAATCCACGCCCCCTTGATCCATGCTTGCGATCGCCTGAGAGGTGCCCGCGCGCCCTTCGACGGAGGAGGAGGCAAGAGTAGGGAGAGGAGGAGCAGGCGGAGGAGGAGGAGGAGGAGGAGGAGGAGGAGGAGGAGGAGCCACTCCCGGGGGAACCATCCCGTTTGAGGGACGTAGGGGCGAGGGTGTGCGCCGGCTCCCGACCAAAGAGCGCCCGCGGCAAAGCGACTCGCGGCGCTCGGAGGAGGAGGAGGAGGAGGCGGAGGAGGAGGAGGAGGAGGAGGAGCAATTGAGCAATTGAGGGCCCCCGTCGGCCATCACATGAGCAGTTGGGGGCCGAGGCGTCCGGACCCGGAGCCGGCACCCCTCTCCCGCGGTTTTCCGGGGCGCTCGGGCCTCCGGCGGCCGCTCGGGGCGATCGCGGCGAGGAGCGCTCGCGGCACTCGGGGTGCCGCGAGCACGTGCGTCATGAAAACGCGGCACACGGCAGAAACAATTATGAGAAGGAAACTCGCGCGCTTCGCGTGCGTCCGTCGACCGACATTGCTAAATCAGGGCAAGCGCGCGGCGACGACCGCATTTGTTCCCACCAATCAATATGGCAAAAAACAAAAAACAAAACAAATTTGTCGAGGCCCTGGTTTTGTTTCCTGGTGGGGGAGGGACCCGACACCCCGGGACCGCTCGCGGCGAGGAGCGGCTGAAACGCGCAAGGCCGGAGAAACGCCGAGAGCCGACGCCAACGTGCGAAAGCCTCCAAGGTCTCGAGCCTCGAAGCTTCGGCCACCCGAGGCCTATCCCCCTCCAACGTTGCTCCCTGAAAGGCCTCCTAGCTGGGTCCGAGTACAGAGGGTCGGAGGATCGCGCCGCATCTAAGATGCATCGGCGATGCATCGAGGCTACGCGCTGTGGAGGCCGATTTGCTCCTCCGCGCCGGCGTCGCCGATGCATCGGCGATGCGGCGCGACCCTCCGACCACATCTACTCGGACCCCATCTGAGAGGCTAGATAAATCCCTGGCACCTGTGTTGAACAGGAAGCCCAGCGGCAGCGTGATGGGCAGCGCCAGCGGCCCCATCGTGCGGATCAGCCGCAGGAGCACGGTGCGCGACAGGGCGTCGACCGCGGCCACGCCCTCGTCGATGAGAATGTCCTGCAGGAAGTTGCCGTCTGGGGAGAACACCACCTGCGGGCAAGATTCATATCCATTTCCGATGCGTCTTGGACTTTCTGGGAAGGGGCGCCACAAGGCTGAGGCGCGGTGTACATGGATAACAATCTAGCCTCTAGGGGCCAGATTGTCATCCATATCCACTGCGCCTCGAGTGTCCGGGGAAGGGAGCCAACAACTTCAAGATGCTGTGGATAACTACGGACATACATCTTGCCCGCACCACCTCGGCAATGTCGCGGAACGCCGAGTCCAGGACGACGGGCGCAGCGGCGCCGGACGATGTGGCCGGGACAGCCTCCGCCTGGGCGTGGCGGGGCGCTGCGGCGGCGCCTGCGAGCATCTGAGCGCGGTCGGCCTTCATGACGTTGGTGAAGGTGCCGAAGCCTTTGGCCAGGTCGTCGATGCGCTTGACTGCAACACGGCTGCGGCCCATGTACAGGTAGGTCCTCAGGGCCTCCCTGATGCGGAGGCTATCGTCCGTCAGCAGGCGGCGGGAGATGTAGGGGAAGCACTCCTTCACGATGCTGAAGTTCTCGTCCTGCTTCAGGCCCAGGCCCTCCAGGAGCGAGAAGGACCGGAGGATCAGCGTGAAGTAGGAGGGCAGCCTGAAGGACCCGTACCGCTTCGCGATGCCCCGGAGCTGGGTCGTCAGCTCCTCCAGCCGCCCGCTCTGCTTGGCCTCCTCCCTCTGGCGCGCGAATTCCTTCTGCTTCTTCTTGAGGTCCCCCCCCTCGCTGAACAGGGTGTCCAGGGTGTCGGTGAGCGCTGGCACTAGGATCTCGCGCGCCTCTGCGTCGGTTCGGATGCCCGGGGGGAAGAACTCCAGGTTGATCAGGTCGTCCAAGCACTTGCCGTAGTCCTTGGCCTGGAGGTGCATCAGGTACTCTATGAAAGATACGCGCTTGTCATCGGCAATCTCCGTCATCAGCCCGTAGTCCAAGATTCCGAGTTTGCCCGAAGGCATCACCACGAAGTTCCCTGGGTGCGGGTCCCCATGCAGGTAGCCAGTTTCCAGGAACTGCACCATGTAACTGTTGAGCAACAGCGTCACGACCTCCTTTGCATTCTCCTTGGCCGCCCCTGGCTCCGTCAGCTTCTTGCCGTCGAGCCACTCCTGCACCAGCACCTCGGGCTTCGCGACCAGCACCTCTGGCACTACCACGTTCCCCGAGATGAGGTCGCAATTGGCGACGGTGTCGGCGAAACGGCGTTGGTTGGCGGCCTCCTTCTGGTAGTCGAGCTCCTCGAACCAGGCTGGACCCGCGAGCTTGAGCAGCTCCAGCGTGCTCCTGCACTGCCGCGCGATGGGTGGGCTGTCGCCTGGGACGAGAAGGCCCAGCTGGCAGATCTGGCGGATGACGTAGAGGTCCAGCGTAATCTGCTCCCGCACGTCCGGCCGCTGCACCTTCACCGCAACGGTCCTGCCGCTCACCCTCGCCTTGTAGACCTGGCCCACGGAGGCGGACGCGACAGGCTTCTCAAAGCAGGACATGTCCTCGACCAGGCCCTCCAGGTCCTTCACGTTGCGGCGGAGGGTCACGAACGCCTGCTCCTTTGAAGGGGCCCTGGGACACACAAATCAATACACACAAAATAACAAAATAACGGGATTCCCATACTTTCCCGTATGTTCTGGGTTTTTGTCTTCCCCCCCACTTGCCATGTTTTCCTATGTGTTCCTGGGGATCGACGATTCATTGTGTCCGTGTTGTTTTTGTCTTCCTCCTGCTCCTTGTCGAAGGGCCGCACCTGCTCCAGCAGCTTCTCGAACGCCTCGTTGTAGACCTTGGGCAGTATGTCGGGGCGCGAGGCCCAGACCTGCGCCAGCTTGATGAAGGCCACGCCCAGGTCCGTGACGAGCTCGCGGGCCTCAGGAAGCAACTGCCGGGAGGTCTTCCTCGGAAAGGTTAGGGAGGATTAAGCCCCATTGCGGGGCTGTTACGCCAGAAAGGGCCTCGGATTAGGCGGGATAAAGCCAGATTAAGTGGGATTGAGCCGGATTAGGCGGGATCAGGCGGGATTAAGCCGGATTAAGCTGGACTTCGGACCAGGGCAAAATCAGAACTTGACCTCCCAGGAGTTGCACCCGAACGGGCCTGGATCGCACGCTCGGGCTCGTTCTCCTCGGTCCTCCCGAGAGCCTCGTCGAGCTTCAGCGCCAGGAAGAAAGAGCCTGCGCCGCCGACGACGCCGACGAACTTGCTGATCAGCCTGAGTGGCCGCCGGCTCCAGTACTGTTCGATCCAGGCTGGGTCGTACTCCCTCGGCAGCTCCTCGAAGCGGCGACATCCAGACCCCATCCACAGCAACCATCGATTCCTCTGAATCGAGGTGGGCCACGGGTAGGGTTCGGATTTCGCCAGGTGTTCGATGAATTCCCAACCCTAACCCCCGCCGCCCATCGAGCCGCCTGCATCGTTAATCGGCGAGGGTAAGTAGACGAGCGCGTTCCACTACTCGCAAAGTGACTACTCGCAAATGGCCTGGATTCCACGCGGAGGATCTGCGATAAGTGGCATCAAAGCAGACATGTGTGCTTTCGGACGTTTGCGAGTAGGCACTTTGCGAGTAGTGGAACGCGCTCGGTGAGTAAGGCTCAGATCTCGCCGCCGATCCTCCAGCCACGGCTGCCGGCCCCGGCGCAGCCCCAACAGCGCCACCAGCGCGGCGCCCGCAGCGGCGGGCTGCGCCACGGGCGCGAAGCCGCGCTGCACCTCCAAGGGGCCCCGAGAAGCCCCCTTTGGATGCCCCCACGAGCCCTCCAGCGATTTGTTCCCTGTTAACAAATTATCCCGGCAAAGCAACCTAACAGCGATGTGTAGGAGCATATCTGGGAGCATTCCCCTTAAGATTCAGATGTGAATCCAGTTGTAGAATTCTGCTGTTCTCGCAGTCGTAGTCGCATTCGCGATGACAGTCGCAGTGGCAACGGCAGTCGCAGTCACAGCCTCAGCCTCAGCCTGCCTCAGCCTCAGGCAGCCTCAGCCTGCCTCAGCCTCAGCCTGCTTCAGCCTCAGCATCAGTCTGCCTTCAGCCTCGGCCTCAGCCTCAGCCTGCCTCAGCCTCACCCTGCTTCAGCCTCAGCCTCAGCCTCAGCCTCAGCCTGCCTCAGCATCAGCCTGCCTCAGCCTCAGCCTCAGCCTCAGCCTCAGCCTCAGCCTCAGCCTCAGCCTCAGCCTCAGCCTCAGCCTCAGCCTCAGCCTCAGCCTCAGCCTCAGCCTCAGCCTGCTTCAGCCTCAGCCTCAGCCTCAGCCTCAGCCTGCCTCAGCCTCAGCCTCAGCCTGCCTCAGCCTCAGCCTGCCTCAGCATCAGCCTCAGCCTGCCTGCCTCTCATCAGCCTCAGCCTCCCTCAGCCTCAGCCTCAGCCTCAGCCTCAGCCTGCCTCAGCCTCAGCCTCAGCCTCAGCCTGCCTCAGCCTCCTCAGCCTGCCTCAGCCTCAGCCTGCCTCAGCCAGCCTCAGCCTCAGCCTCAGCCTCAGCCTCAGCCTCAGCCTGCAGCCTCAGCCTCAGCCTCAGCCTCAGCCTCAGCCTCAGCCTGCCTCAGCCTCAGCCTCAGCCTGCCTCAGCCTCAGCCTCAGCCTGCTTCAGCCTCAGCCTCAGTCTGCCTTCAGCCTCGGCCTCAGCCTCAGCCTGCCTCAGCCTCAGCCTGCATCAGCCTCAGCCTCAGCCTCAGCCTGCCTCAGCATCAGCCTGCCTCAGCCTCAGCCTCAGCCTGCCTCAGCCTCAGCCTCAGCCTGCTTCAGCCTCAGCCTCAGTCTGCCTTCAGCCTCGGCCTCAGCCTCAGCCTGCCTCAGCCTCAGCCTGCCTCAGCCTCAGCATCAGCCTGCCTCAGCATTCAAAATGTGGCCCGGGAATGGAGTTCTGGGAACTCGAAGAACACGAAGTGGCCTACAGTTGGCTCCGGGCATTCAAAATCATGCCCAGGAATGGAGTTCTGGGAACTCGAAGACCACGAAGTGGCCTACAGTTGGCTCCGGGCATTCAAAATGTGGCCCGGGAATGGAGTTCTGGGAACTCGAAGACCACGAAGTGGCCTACAGTTGGCTCCGGACATTCAAAATGTGGCCCAGGAATGGAGTTCTGGGAACTCGAAGAGCACGAAGTGGCCTACAGTTGGCTCCGGGCATTCAGAATGTGGCCCGGGAATGGAGTTCTGGGACCTCGAAGACCACGAAATGTGTAACTGTTTGCTTAAAACGACTTCCGCGGATTCTCCCCGGATCCTGCCCGGACCCCCCTGGGGAGTCATGATGCTTTCTTTTGAAACCATTAGAAACCTATCAGTCTTCGCTGTTAGGTAAAAACATGCCAGCCATTTGTCCCCTATTCATCGAAAACGTGTTTGGGACCTTCTCATCATTTGCTCTGGGAATAACTCAATGGGTCCCGAGAAGCCCCCTTTGGATGCCCCCACGAGCCCTCCAGGAGGCCCAGCCTGGAGGGTCGGCGGAATGGCGCAGGCTGCTTGAACGACATAAGCTCTTCCGACGTCGGGGACGCCTGCCCCAGGGCGGCTGGAAAGCCTGCACGCCCCTGCGGCGACACGTCCGACAGGCCCCGATGAGATCCCGACGAAGATCCACGAGGCCTCGGACCGACCGCCCGGGCACGGTGGCGGGAGGAGCCGAAGGCCAGTAGACATTGGGCCAGCGGAGTGGGCGAATCGTTTTGAATCACATCATCGTTTCCGCCGTCGGGGACGCCTGCCCCAGGGCGGCTGGAAAGTCCACACACCCCTGCGGCGGCACGTCGGGGGACAAACCTCCCAGACGCCATGGGACAAGCCTCCCCGACGGCGGGAAAGGGTTCTGTCATATACCGCCCTTCGCCCACCCAGAAACCTCTGGAGTCATGGTGCTGTAATACTCCTTCTGGACGCTGGCCAGCGCGCGGGTGACCTTCACGAGTGGCGAACATCATCTATATCCGCCGTCCTCGCGGTCTGGATCCCGGGGCGAGATCCCGCGGACACGCGGTCGCACGGGTACGTTCCGCGCGGCGCATCCGTGAATCAACGCCCTGTATCCGCGTTGTCGCGGCCCAGGGGCCCGGCCCGCGAGGCTGCGGATACTAGAGGCCTCCTCCTAGATGGGGTCCGAGCAGACGGGATCGGAGGATCGCGCCGCATCGCCAATGCATCAGCGATACATCGCCGATGCATCGGCGATGTCGACGATGCATCTGCGCCATCGGCGTGGAGACAATCGGGCTCTATATCGAGCCGCATTGGCGATGGCATCGGCCATGCGGCGAGATCCTCCGACCCCATCTGCTCGGGTCCCTTTTGGGAGGCCTACAAGGTAACAATAATCGCTCCCCTCTTAGATCCGCTGGGAGGGGTGGGCACATGCTGTCGGAAGGGGAGGAGGGGGGGTGGGAGGAGGAGGAGGAGGAGGAGGAGGAGGAGGAGGAGGAGGAGGAGGAGGGGGAGGAGGAGGAGGAGGATGAGGAGGGGTAGGTGGAGGAGGGGGGGGGGGGGGATGGGCAAGCTCAGTCGAAAGGATAGTCGCCTAACCCTCGACTGATATCCCACCCAGAGTACGGATATGTTTTTCGCCCGCGAGACCTCTTGCCGCACCTCGGGGGGAGCGGCGTCGAGCGCGCCAGCGAGCACAACGGCGGCGGAGTCCACCAGCGCAGCCGGCGGGCTGCCAGGCCACGCCGCCGCCGCCGCCGACGCCGCGCCCGCAGCGGCACTGGCCAGGGCCGACGCTGCTCCGCCCGCGGCGGCCGTGAGGCCATCCACGGCTCCCTCTACCTGCGCCGGGTCTGGCAACGGAATGTCCTGGGGAGCCAAGATCAGGTGTTGGCGGGACTGGTTTCAATGGGACTTGGTTCAGTGGTGTGTGCTGGGGGACGCCCCCCCGCCCCTTTGGCCTGACCGGAACTGCCGTCACCCGAAGAACTACCAGTTACGAGAATCCTGGTTTAGCGATTCTGGTAAATTTTCCGGTCTGCGGGGCCCAATCGCAAACTGGCTCCCCTTACCCAATTCCCTGGCTAAGTCCGGCAAAAAGACACCGACGCCACCTCTCGGGGCGCGCTCTTCTACGAAGACAGCGCGGCTCCTCAAATGCGGCGGGGTTTCTACGAAGGTAAGGGGGTATGTTTAGAAGCCTGGTCAGCACTTCAGAAGGCCTTCTTTAAAAGCGCTTTTAAACGTCACATCTTAGAAGCCCCCCAAGGCCCAGGGGCCTCATATAAAACAACGCCTTCTCAAAAGGCCGCCCCCCCCTCGCACCACCCCCCTGTGGGCGCCGCCAGCTTGTCTCCTGCGAAGTCCCCACCCCTTCCCCGGTGGAAGTGTCTCGCCCATGGGGCCCAAGGGCGGCCCCCGATGGCTGAACCGAAGAAGAATCGCCCGTCGGAGACCGCGGGGTGCCTCCCCTCTTCCCCTTCCATGGCGGAGAGGAGGCAGGAAGTGGAGAGAGGCGAGTGGCGCTAGGCAGAGGTAAGCTGAAGAGGAGAAGGAGGAGGAGGAGGAGGAGGAGGAGGAATAGGAACAGCATCATGACGGTGTCATATCAATCTGGACGAGAGCGGGCTGCCTTGTGGGCAGCACTCCGATGCTTGGGCACAAGACCTCGCCGGATACGATCCAGGTACTCGCGCCTGGTCTGATTCAGGGGCTTGTGGCACGACTCTTTGAAATCGCTCCGAAGGTTTCGGGAACAAAAGAAACCGCACTTCCCGCAGAACCTTAACCCCAGAGTGTGGTGATAATCTAATTCGTGCGATTCTTGCGCCCACCCCCCAGGTAGGTGCAGCCTGACCCCTTAGGCTTGTGTGAGACAGCCGAATCGACAGTAATGAGATCGAAGCAGGGCGTGCCTAAGGAGTGGGTAAGGTAGCACTACTACAACAACGGGTGCATTTACGCCCACACTCACTGAAGGTGTGGGATGTGCTAAAACGCGCGGCAACTACGGGCTTAATGGGAGGAGGAGGAGGAGGAGGAGGAGGAGGAGGAGGAGGAGGAGGAGGAGGAGGAGGAGGAGGAGGAGGAGGAGGAGGCGGAGGGGCAATAGCCTCAGTGCCACCAATAGCTATGGACATACGGGCGTCACGCTCAGCGTTTTTTTTCACCAGCTCCTGCCTCGAAGGTGGCTCGCAAACGTCGCCTCCGATCAAGTCCAGCTTTGCGTTCGCAATCATATATCCGAGCACGGATGGACGCATCGACTCTGTGCACCTCTGCGGCGCCTTCTGCTAGCGCATCAGCAACATCATTTCCAACCAACATCCAGTTTTCAACATGTTTCCTGGCCGCACCTTCAGCTGAAAGGCGCGAGGGGATCCGAAGGACTACGAACTCCGACGGGTCCCTGTTCTGGAAGTGCTGGCCAATTTCACTCCATAAGCAACTTAACTCTCCTGTGACCTGATGTACCGCTTATCGTACCAACCTTTGCAGACGGCCTCAATGTCGGTCACAAGGACGGTGGGTCCGACCGAACCTCGAGCTGCCCCTTCCAGGGTACGCAACTCTCCTCGAGGGACGGACTGAACGCGCCCTGTCAGAGGGCCAGAGACTGTGGTACCGACTGCAGCGTGTACGGTATCTGAAACCACAGCTAACCCAATGCCGACCCGTGTGAGCGTCGGATTGCGGCTGTCACCACCCCCATTTAGGCGTCGCCGCAGATAAGGAGCGGGGCGTCGGTGGTGCCCATGCCCAAACTCGCAGGCGTCAGCGACTCGATGTTGGAGCTGGTGGTGGCCAGCAGCTCGACTTCAGCAGGCGGTGTCGCGCGAGTGTGATATGCTGGGATGACTCCTCGAAGCCAGAAAGCAGGTGTAGCTTCGGCCTGCGCCAGCGCCTCAGGAACGATGTCGTCCGTGGAGCTGTAGGCCGCGCCGCCGCAATTAGCTGGACAAGGCCAGCCTCTGTGTAGCATCGTCTCTGGTGCTTCCCTGCACCTCGAGCAAATGGGTGGATCGCAGAGACCACAATCATACTTGCGCTGCCTGGTCCAGCAGCCGCCTGAAATGGTGAGCAAGAGCTCCGCAAGCTTGGCTCCGCGAGGCATCTCCCGAAGACGAACGAGGAGCGAGCGCAGTGACTCGTTGTCCGCGCTGTGCTCAAGCTCCCCTCCGCAGAATTCCTGAGACGCCCGCTGCCAAAGGTCTCCTGCGAGCGATTCTTTGAAATTCAAGAGAAAGTCAGACGTATCCACGTGCTTGGAGGCAATGATGTCGTCGTCGAAAATCCAATCAATTCCTGAATAAGCACGGCGTGCAAGTCTAGTCCAACGCGACGGTGTCTGGGGGCCCCAAGCCTGCACTCACTAGGTAGGAGACAACTGCTGACACAGGTCCTCGCACATGCCGTGGTCTTTCTTGTGCTGGCAGAGAATTGATGGATGCGACGAGTCTGTTCCGAATCTGACGCACTCCATTGCGAATCCCAGGATGATCCATCCACGTGTCTAGCCACTGCTTGAGACATGCTTGAGGTAATCTCATAGCGGGGTCTTGACCGACGTAGTTAAAAAACGCCCACGCTGGGGCGCACCGGCTACCGCACCGACCTGACGACGCATGTTGCTTAGCTCAGTGCCGAGGATGCCGCGCACCCGGTGCGCGTGTGCCGCTGAAGCCTGGGGGCCTGCAAACTGCGCGCTTTTGGTGACCGAGTAGCACTTGGAGGCGAAAGCGTGGCCTCGCACGCTTTTGTTCCGAGCCTTGGCCTTGACCACTCGAGCCGCTCGGGTGGCGCGGGCAGCTCGTCGACCACCGCCGAGATCGACTCCCAGGTATGCTGCTTGTCGAACGGCTTGAATATCAATGCCTCGCCTCCTCAACTGCTTCACCGCCGCCTTGGAGTCCAACGTGGACCCGCGCAGCACGACGCTCTTCGAAGCCAGGGTGAGCTCCTGCTGGTGAAGCTCATCACAAACTAGAAGTAACGCCGTCCACAATCGATCTAATCACTGCTGCGCTAGAGCCTCGCTGACCCAGGTACATGTCGCCCACCCAGATCCTTTGACTGGAGGTGGCCCTCGCCGCGCAGAGAGCGCCCATGACGTAGTGGGCCAAACGCCGACCGAACCGAACTCCATTGCGCAAGCCCTGCACGATGCTGCGCGCGGCTTGGAACGGCCGTGAATCAGCTCCAAACTGTGAAAGAATTCTGGGCCTCATGCAGAGTTGGAGCTCCACTAGAAGAGCGACGCCTAGACTGCCAAGATCGGCTGCAGCACCTGCGAGCCTGGTCCAGCGAGCGTGGTCATGCAAGGATTGGATAGCTATCAAGGCGCAGCCGTGGGCTGCGCCAAGGCGATGACAGCGCTCATGATCGACGGTTTTCATGAGCGCCTCCTGCAGCGCCGACTTGCCAGCGACAGCGGCGCCCCATGCTGTCGAGTTGTCACAAGCCCACGATCGCGAGTGCACATCCCTGATCAAAGACCACACTCTGCAGGCCATCGCCAGGATGCCGATGGCCCTGCCCCCTCCCGATTTCTTGGTGAGGGGGCGCCCCGAGACCACGAGCAGCTGTGTCGGCCATGTCCCAGCCTCCTTCATGGTTACGAACATCTCGGCCAAGGCTACGTGACCCTCGGGAGGGAGGCGCTGCGTGTCCAGCGGTACGAGCTGGTCGATGCCGAGCTCAGCGCGCGGCTTCATCTCAGCTGGGGCGGCTCGCACCTCGTCACCATCTATCGGTGGAAGTGCATTGACCTCTGCCCAAGATCGGATCCGCTGGAAAGCCTGCGCCACTTCCTCGAGGTCGAACTTGGGAACGTGCCAAAGAGCATGCCATGTCATACTTTTCTCGTCAATGGCGTCCCTGGGGTGAAAGACGTGCTGGTCGCCAGCGTGGATCTCGTCCTGCGCCGCCGGGCTGTCTTTGATATTCCTGTGAATAGCGCCTTGAGCAGGCGCTGTGACAATTCAGTCCCTGAAATCCTGCGAAGAGTCCTGCGCGGCCTTCCTGGGCGCTTTCTCGGCAGCCTTCTGGGCGCCTTACGCTGAGCGATCGAGCGGAAACCTGGGGTGTTCGACGTCGCGCCTGGGGAACTGCGCCCAGGTGCCCCGTCTTAGGGCCTCGGCTGGCGGGATGCGCTCGTGCGCGCCTTCGGAAATATCACCCGCGATCCGTGCGCCTAGCTGTCCCAAGAGAGCCATCTGCCTGTCGCCGGAACGCATTTGCCTGCGCCCCTGAACTCGGAACAGAACCTGCAGCGCGCGAGCCCGCCAGTTCGAGACTTTGTCACGCAGAGGAGCGCCCCTGAAAGCCATCGCCTGCTGCGCCGTGCCTGCGTGAAGCTTAGGGTCGGCGGCCCGAGATGCCGAAGGGAGCGGAAGCCCACGATGCGCAGAGATAGCGCGCTCGACGCAAGACATCCATTGAGCACGCTGCGCAGAGACCTGCTGACTGTAAGGGCTACCGACATGATGCGCAACTGATTCTTGAATCGGCTTCCAACTGATGTATGCTACATTGTTTTGGGAAGATGTGAATCTGCAGCAGTTTTGAGCCAAAAGCCAGCGGTTGGAGGGGATGTTGAAGGGGGGGCTTCCTTGGGGGAAGCCTCTGACATTTTTCACCGGGCTCGTTCGCAGGAAAATTAGCATCATTGCTGCTGCTGCTGGGGGGCTCCGACATGGGCTCAACGGCTTCTGGACTAGACTTTGGGGAGGCGGGGCGCGACGCTCCTGAAACTTGAAACCCCTGGGAGTCGCCGGCTCGAGGGCGACCGGCGGCCCGCGCGGCCCTAGGGCAACGGCGGCCCACGGGCCCTCCTCACCCTCGAAGGCGTCGGGCTCAAAGGCGGCCTCAAGCATGGGATCGGGGAAATCATGAGATTCACGAACAGTGTCCTCCCGGGCAGCGAGGGGGCCCTTCAAACAAATCCCCAGACGTGTTCAGCTTCGACTGGGGAGCTTGTGAACTTGTAGATGCTGTCGAGCAAGAAGCAGCTCGCCGCCCTCGTTGGCCCTACTGCGACTCGCCTCACTGGTGCCGCGGCAGTGACAGGCGCAAGATGGAGAAGTGCCTTCAGCTTCTGAAATCTGAACTTGCCACTCCACTTCTGCCGCAACGACTCCCCAATGTGAGTCTCGACGAAGCCCATGAAGTCATGCGAGCGGCGAGCCTGCTGCGCGAGGATTTGCGCCCACGCATTCTTGCCTAGCGTCGCGACGCTGGCGAAGTACAGCGTGGTGCAGCCCTCGCTCCCGCGAGTAGTAATAGAAACTGACGACGCAGGTGGGGATCCAGTGGGCGTCGAAGTCGCTGAACCTAGGACGACGCCCTTGGAAGAGAGCAAGGGAGTAGTGTATGTCCCTGTAGTGTTGTCGACAAGCAAGGTCGGCTCCGTCTCAGCAGCAAGCTTAGAGGCCACTAGGCCTGCTGCTGCGGGAGCCCGTTACGCTCCAGCGCTACCGCCGCCAGCCGCGGCGACCTTGGCTGCCTGTTCGGCCGTCTTTTTGGCCTCCTCGGCCTGGAAGCGCGCCCTGCTCAGGGCAGCCACCATCTCCTGCACCTCGGTCTGGCCCCCGCCTTGGCGAGTTTCTCACGGCAGCGGAGGACGTGCTGGACGGCCTGCGTGTGTTTGGCGTCCGCGTCGCGCCAAGCTCCGTCTGCCCTCCGAGCTGCCTCAGAAGGGGGTCGGGAGCTGGCGACGCGGCCGCCTCGGACTTGGCTGTCAAAATCGCCCTCTGAGCCTGCAGCACCTGCTTGATGGACGGTTCGCTCGTGGCCGCGATCGTCTGGTCGAGCAGCGTCACGGCATCCACCTCCTCGGAGTTGCCGCCCTTGCCGCGCGTGTCGTCGCCTTTGTGCGGCGACTGGTCCTTCGACTTGGGCTTGTAGAGGGCGACGGGGCGGCCGCAGCGGCGGCACTTCCCGTCCTCCTTCAACAGGTCGTCGTTCCACTGATGGGTGTAGCAGCTTTTGCACGTGGACCACACTCGTGGGCCGAGACCAGCCTTGCTTTCGTGAACACGAACGCCTGCACTCTCTCGGCGCGGGTGGCGTGGTGTCCCCCAAGCACGCCGTGACGGCGCGAGGCCTGGACGAACGGGTGCGCGCAAAATGCGACTAGGAAGGTGTGTGTGTGTGTGGTGAAAGGCCACCCAATGACACCCCCTCACCCGCTCGTGCCAGAACTGCTTGAGGGATGATGATGATGATGATGATGAGGAGGAGGAGGAGGAGGAGGAGGAGGAGGAGGACGAGGAGGAGGAGGAGGAGGAGGAGGAGGAGGAGGAGGGGGAAGAGGGGAAGGAGGGGGAGGAGGAAGAGGAGAAAGACGAGGCGGAAGAGGGGAGGAGGAAGAGGAGGGGGAGCAGGGGGAGGAGGGGAGGGGTAGGAGGGGGAGGAGAAGGAGGAGGAAGAGGAGAAAGACGAGGCGGCGGGAGGAGGAGGAGGAGGAGGAGGAGGAGGAGGAGGAGGAGGAGGAGGAGGAGGAAGAGGCCAGTGTTCCCTTCTCCTCCGAGGTCCAGGGACAACTCCCAGACGCGCCGCTGAGCGGCCCCGCCCCTCCGCGACCGCCTGTGGGGGAACCAGAAATACCGCCACCGCTATTCTCAGGTCGGGCCTGTCCCCATACAGGCGGATTTTGTACAACAGAAATTTTAAAAATACCGGACATGCGCAAAAATGAATATAAACAATGAAAAACGCTCCCCAGGCTATTCTTTGACAATGTTTGAATTCTCCCCCTGTAGAGGGACAAGCACGACTTAACGCTATTCCCAGAACCTCTCCCATGGTACTTTCTGACGGAAATTTCGGGGCGGATCCAGCCGTGGCTACGAGGGCCTCCTAGAGACGCCCCTCTCTCAGGTGCATCGGCGACGTGGGCGATGCATCGGCGACGTCGGCGTGTAGAGAATCGGGATCCACATCAAGCCGCATCGCCGACGCATCGACGATGCATCGGCGATGCGTCGGCGGTGCGGCGCGATCCTCCAACTCCGATCACATCTGCTCGGACCCCATCTGGGAGGCCTCGATCCCAGGAGGCCCAGACAGGGGCCAACAAGGGAAAAGTAACAATGTCGTTACGGCAGGTTCGTGGTGTGACAACCCCGGCTTTGATTCTGACACTGCGTGGACCGTTATTGGCCGATTCTGAGCCACCGGCAACGTTCAACCTTTATGGACGCCCGAAATGGCTACGGGCAAAAATGGGTACGATGCCCAACAGCGAATGTTGTCCAAAACCGACAGCGGCCGCTGTTGGGCAGGCAGCCTTCTGTCTAAAATGGACGCCCGCGGAGACGCCGACAGCGAGCCCCATCTAAACAGGCACTGCCGCCGGCCTTCGCACCCAGTCTTCGGCACACGTCTCTATCGTACCGGAACCTCGAACGCCCGCGGCGGGGTTGCCGCCGCGTCGACACGACGCGAACATGCCGTTTGGCGGCGCGCGCAAGGGGGGCGGGGGGAGGGGGGAAGGCTTCTGAGAAGGAGGTCGCTTCTCAGAAGGCGCCTGCCACACATCTATAAACAAGAGCCGCGCCCTCGAAGGAGCAGGGGTGCTCTTGAGCAGCACTTCCCCCTCCCCCCATAGCTCCCTTCTGCGCGTGGCTGACGAAACCCGATCATCCTCAGAACGTGTGATACAGTCAACCAGTATAGTAAGGATGCGCGATAAGGATGCAAGGGCCTTGGACGCCCATTTCGAAGCTTTTCGAGCGGGGCGCGGCCAGCGAAAGCGGCGAAGGATGAACCGAGGAGGCGAGGGTGCAAGGGCACCCTTGGGAAGGTTGCCCATCCTTACTATCATGGTTGTCTGTAATGCCAACGTGTGCTTGCGCACCGAAACTCTCCAGCGCGGCGCAGGCGCGCAAAATGAAGGCCGGAACAGGCGGCGTGCTGTCGGCGGAGCGGCAGCGGCCTGCCGCGGAGGAGGAGGAGCAGGAGGAGGAGCAGGAGGAGGAGGAGGAGGAGCAGGAGGAGGAGGAGCAAAAGGAGGAGGAGCATGAGGAGGAGCATGAGGGGGAGCAGGAGGAGGAGGAGGAGGAGGAGGAGCAGGAGCAGGAGGAGGAGGAGCAGGAGGAGGAGGAGCAGGGGAAGGAGGAGGAGGATGAAGAGGAGGAGGAGGAGGAGGAGGAGGAGGAGGAGCGGGGAAAACACACATTGGGCCAATACACGCCCTGAGGATCGCCGAGAAACCTCCGACGGCCGCAGCGGGGCCGCCCGCGCGTCGACAAACGACGCGAACATGCCACACCGCTTCCTCCGCGGCCGCCTCCGCGCCCTGCGCGCGGCGGCTGCGGCGAGCAGCCCGCCGGCGCCGCCCGCGGCCGCCGCGGCCGCCGCGCCTCGGGCACGCCCGGCGGCGCGCCCAGTGGCGGGCCCGCGGCCCGGTCCCCAGCCTGCAAGACGACGACGACGGCAGCGACGACGACGCCGAGGACCACGGGGACGCTGACACCGACGCTGCCGCCGCCTCCGCCGCCGACTGACGACGACGACGACGACGTTGTCGTCGCCGCCGCCGCCGTGCAAGACGAAGCCCTGGGCCGGGACAAAGGCAGACCTAGATCTCCGACGATCGGATGTTTACAGTCCTGGCTTTGTAACTCGATTTCGCCCCTCTGTGGCCCGTTTACGGGCCTTGGTGCCATCAGAAATTGATCTGGGGCGAGCGGCTACCCCTAGGGAAGTGGTCGGGACTTCTGGGGCCGCGGATCGAAAAACACATATCAGCTGATGCCAGGGGATCTCTGAGATCCGGCGGCTCTGGAGGATGTATCAGGCGACGCGGCCGCTCAAAAGGCGCTCCAGAAGAACGCTCAGAGAGCGTGAGAGCGTCCCCAAGACATGCGATGTCTGATTTTTTTCCACACGGGCCCCCCAGAAGCCCCGACCCCGACTCTTTCCCCAGGGCCAGCTCTTCATCCCGAGCAGTTTTTTTATACTCCCAGGGCTGGGGGAGGGCCCCTGGAGGCCGAACACGGCCAGAAACCTCCCCTCGTCAGTCTTGGCGACGCAAGCGTGTTTGTGTCCGGAGCGATCTGGACCGACTTACCCTGGTGCTGGCCAAGAGGCCTCCCAGATGGGGTCGGAGTAGATGGGGTCGGACGTCAGCGCTGCATCGGCGACGTCGGCGCGGAGAAGATCGGGTTCCACATTGAGCCGCAACGCCGATGCAGCGCAGACGCGGCGCGATCCTCCGACCTAGCCTGCTCGGATCCACCTGGGAGGCCTGGGAGCACGTCTGGGCCTGGTGCGCTCTGGAGCGACTTACGGGGAGGCTGGGAACACTAAGGGCTGGAATCACTGCGGACAGAATGGCTAGAGTAGGGAAAGTCTCGCTGGCGTGGGCCTGCGAACAAATGACACAAAGGGAGCCCATGCCCCGACAACCGCAAAGCGCGGGTCCCTGGGAATCAGACGCAAGCGGATGATTTCTCAACAGGTTTGCACCACCCATTGTTTAGTTTGGCGCGGCCCGAGAAAAGCAACCCAGACATGCGATGTCCGGATTTTTCCAGTACGGGGCCCCCACAAGTCCTGACCCCTTACCCAGGACCAGTTTTTCATCCTGGGTCGTATTTTGACGGTCGCGGGGCCCGGCAAGGGCTCCCAGAGGCCAAAAACCTTCCGTCCTTGTATTTTTGAGGACGCGGGCATGTCTGGGAATACTACCAGAAGCCCAAAGCATGCAGCACACCCGGGCCTGGCCCGCACGTGCGTTTCTGGCCTCCCCGTGCCCCAACCCCCCCGCCCTTGAGCAGGGACCGACGGTCACGGCATTCCTATTGCCCTGCCACGACATGTTCTTAGAACCCAACAATGTTCTAAGAACATTTCGTGCAAATCACAAAAGGTTCTTAGAACATTCTTTGGTTGGCCTCTAGGCGAGCCCTGACGCTTCGCCACTGCTTGACCCAGCCGTGGCCCCGCCCGAGCCTGTGCCGCGAGGGGCCGCCCCGCCTGGCGAGGCCAGCAGGGTGGGCTGAGCCGCCGGGCGCATGGCAGCAACGGCGCCGGGCACCGACAGGGCAGCGCGCACGGCAGGCTCGTGGCGAGACGACCTCGTGGATCGTTCAACTCTGAATTTGGGTGGAGCTCTGTCGATACAGTTGCAACACGTCGTTCGGTCCGCCGGGATATTTTTCGGCCTGGTCGTGGCGCCGCGCGGCGGCGCACAACGCCTCGACAGGCGGTGCCCGGCTCAGGCGAATACACCTATTTTTTAGGTCGGGCCTGTCCACCGACAGGGGGATTTTGGACGAAAAATAATACATACTCCTCAAATCTTCAAATACAGTCAAATGTATTACAAAATTCGTCCCCAGACCATATTCACTATTTTTGAATATTCCTCCTGTAGAGGGACAGGCCCGACTTAACGTAATTGGGGGGGCGGCACACACGACCCGCACAGGGGAATGCAGGACTGCGCGCGTGACGGGCAGCTGCCTCCGCAAGAAGCGTCGTTGGCAATCATGAGCACGCCGCACGACGGGCCGGTGCCACCTGGGGCCAAGGAGGCGCGGCTCGCCCTCGTAGCGGCAGTCTGAAAAATGACAGCCCGACAGAAGCTAGACTTAAATCGGGCATGTCCCCCTACAGGCGGAATTTTGGGGATAAATTGAAGCTAATTTTGAAATGCTCCCGAATAGAAAACAGTCAAAGAATCGTCCCCCGCCTACTTCTTACTATTTGTGAATATTCCTCCAGAAGGAGAACAAACCCGACATGAAGCTAGAGGCATAGATGCCCCTCTAGCGGGCTGCCCACAACCACTCCGCTCCTCGGCTCCGGAGAGCCCCTGCGCGCCGCCACGCCAGGTCTGGACCGGCGGCGCTGTCTGGCAAAGGGGGGGGGGGGGGCGGAAGGGAAACGCAAGCAGCTGACCACGAACTCGCAGGCGGGAGGCCGGGGGCCGGCGAGACGGGCGGGCAGGCGGGAGGGGGACCGGGCGAAGGCAGCAGGCAGAGAGCAGGAGGAGGAGGAGGAGGCTGGCTGGCTCGGCTTCTAGGATCCACGTGGGAAGAGCCGCTCGCACGTTCTCTAAGTCAGTGATGGAGTAGACGAGCATGCCCCAAAGACCGGTCCACATGTGGAAGATCACACCAAAGAAAATACTGTTCACGATGCTGTGGCCAAGAAGACGCATCAGAAACAATATTGGTCCATAGAACACCTCCCGTGCAGAAGAAATTGTACATCTCCGATTCCCACCGCCACTGCCGGAAACGTTGAGGATGCCCCTTCCGCCCACGATGGAGACGAGCAAATTCATGAAGTGACCGAATGATTTTCAACCTCAAGACTCTTCCCGGTATATGCTGTGGCTCCCGGTTTCCATGGCGCACGAGCCTCCCGGCCCAATCATACTGTTCCCTCCTCCACGCCTGCACCCAAGTCCCCACGTTATGATGAATCATCGTGCGCGAGACGACGCGAGACGATGCTTTCGCACCAGTGCAAATAATCGGCCATGGGCTCCGGGTCTTGCTGGGGGATGCTGAGGATGCGGCGGATCATTCTCCGCTGCGCTCCAGAGATGTTTCTCTCCTGGTGGACGTTCAAATTCCAAACGCCCGCCCCCCACAAGGGGGAAAGCTTGACCGTCACGCTCAGGAGGTAGAGCTTCTTGTTCAGGGAACTTGAAGAAACAACCCCATGCCTTCGATACCCGATTCAAGAACTCCTTCTGGAAAGAATTGTCGAAAGTGATGATCGTGCCGAGCGCCTTAACCCATCGCTCCTGCCGTTTCTCCGGATCACCATGTCGCCCACGCTCAGCGTCATTGGGATATCGTCTGATGCCGTCATGCGTCACGAACACTCCGCAAGGGGCACTTCCCATCCAGACTTGGACAGCATATTCATGAATGTCAGAACCATATGTTGTAACTTCTCCAATCACGTACCGAAAACCAGAAATTATCAGAGAAGCACAGAACACCGTAAAACTCGCCGTCCAGCTCGATACCTCACCTCTCGCCACCGCACTTCGCCTGGAAGTCGATCAAATCGAAATCGAAGATTCGATTGAAAGCCTTTGGGGCGTCCAGCCCCCCTTGGCGCAAAGATCTGGTGCGTGTGACGTCACAGATGAACACCTCCCCGGCCCTCGCTTGAGGTTCATGCTTCCGCACTTCCTGGAACAGCGCTGCAGCAGTGATATTCTGGAAGCCTTTCCGAACCAGGCGTTGTGCGCCCAGCTGGTGGCTGACGGTTCAAAACGGAGGTAGGACTCCACGCTCTGCCACTCAATATAATTTAAGACCACATTCCGTAAGGTGAAAAACACATCTAACGCTTGTCTTTGTGGCCGACATGCAAGCCGGTCGGTTCTCGCTCAGATTCTCCAAGTGTGTGCGTGGCCTCATCCTCCTTCAATATGCACTGTACCACCACGCGCTCCCAGGCCATCTCGTCGAGCTCAGACTGGTGGTTCAACAAACGTAGTTTGAACGCGTCCGCCAACAATTCAAATGTATCTTCGTCCGAACGCGTCACCATTTCCATAACAACGCTGTCGTCTGCACAAGACCGTTTGGCCTTTAAAGCGGTACGCCACCCGCCGCACAAGACTGCCGTCAAAACGCTGAAAGCAATCCAGAGTATCAAAATGCCACGACTTGTAAACAAAGGACGGTAAGGCCTCTCTGAGCGAACGCTCGTTGTTGTAGAGGTCATGGAAATACGTAGTTAACCATTGCCCTTTGGCCTCAACTTCGAAAACCATCTCGAAGGTGCCGGGGTCCCGGAAGAACGGAATCACTGTCTTTTGAAATGGCTTGACTGGTCGAGCATGTTCCAGGGCTTCAGACATCTGCGGGTCGAAACGCTGTTTCGAGAAACGCCTCCTCTGCTTTACGATTGCGTTTGAAAAAAGAAGCTCTCGAAATATGATATGTTTGCATCCTCGCTTGCCGCTCCAATTCGTACAACTTGCATTTCTCATGCTTGATCGCCTGTGTATCCCGAGGGCTTCGTCCAGGCACGCGTCCATGGAGCCTGGCTGCAAGGGAGTAGGAGTAGGAGGAGGAGGAGGAGGAGAAGGAAAAGGACGAGGAGGAGGGATCGGGGGGGTCGGAGTAGATGGGGTCGGAGGATTGCGCCGCATCGCCGATGCATCGGCGTTGCATGGCGCCATCGGCATGGAGAACATCGGGCCCTACATCGAGCCGCATCGGCAGGTATCGGCGATGTGGCCGTGGATCGTTCAACCTTGTTGCCCCTCCTGCCTGTAACCTGTAGGAGGGCGCCGCCAGACCAAAGAGGAGGGCTGCCTGTAACCTATAGTCTTTGTTGGAGGGCGCCGCCTGAACAAACATTAGTGCCAGCTACTGCGACGCCCGCTCAGGGAGGATACGCTCAGGCGATCGCCGTATCCAGGCGAGCTCTCCGAGGGCAGCCTGGGGAACCTCCAGGAACCCAGGCAGACGACGTCCAGTCCAAAACGCAGCACACGGCCAGACCCGGGACTGAACGATTGGCGGCCTTTCGACCGCCAGACCGCTGCAGATTTGCCGATTCTGGGCCACTGGCTGCGCTCTGCCTTGAGACGCCCGCGGCGGGGCCCCTGCAGCACCGCACGCCACGAGCCCACCGCGCAGAGACGGCCGGGGTGCGGGGCCGGCGCGCCGCAGGCCTGGGGCCAAAAAGTGGCTGCGCGAGGCCGGCGCAGGCGAGCGACGGCTGGCTCCAAGACGCGGCGAGGCTTCCGGCTGCGCACAGACATAGGACGAGACCAGGACGAACAGAGATCTCTGAGATCCAGCGGCTCTGGGAGATGCCTCGGGCGCCGCGGCCTTCTCGGAGCGTTCAGGAACGCTACGAGAGTGTTCAGGAACGCTCTGGAACAGATTTGTCCTCGTCCTGGCCCCGCCCGAGGACACACACCCCAGGCAACCCTGGCTGGCCTCCACAGGCCCCCCAGGTGGCCCGGGACTGTCTCAACACCCTGGGGCGCTCCGCGCACCAGGGTTGGGGTGTCGAGACTGCCTCAAACTGCTTGGGGGGCCTGTTGAGGCTGGCTGAGACTATCTCGGGGGGCCTGTTGAGGCCAGCCGGCGCCACCTGGGGGAGCTGACTGTGCGCAACCCGAAGCCTCTCCACCCAGATGCGACTCATAATCACTACGGGAGGTGTTAGCCGGTTTCGACCTCTGGGACTCGCGGGGCCCCGAGACTCCCTTAAAAACGGCTCGAGATGAAACATGGGCCTAGGGGAAAGGTCGGGACTTCCGGGGACCCAGTGTTGAACAAAAATTAAGACGTCGCTTGTCTGGGCCATGGTGTGGCGCAGTGGCCTGCGCAACCATGGAAGGGCGACGAGGCGGGAGGGAGGGAGGGAGGGGGGAAGGAGGTCCACAGGCACGGCTGCGGGTCAACTCAAAGCCCGACAACACTGCATGGAATCGAACAAGAAACGAGACTGGTCGCGGCGAATGGCGGGCCGATCGAAATCCTGCCAATACTGCATGGAACATCCTTCCGAGGCCCTCGATGCACACAATTTGTCTGACTGGCCATACGTCGTGTGCTGTCTCGGAACAGGCATGGTGTGAATCGGGCGTCGCGTGTCTCGTCAAAGAGGGGAGAGGTCGAGCGGAACGGCGACTCTTTTTAGAGAATGGCCACTTGAAACACATTGACGACCTTCGAGCCAGGACGGGGACGGAAGATGATGAAGCACCAGGAGGAGGGAGGCGAGGGAGGCGACGGAGGGATTCAGACTTTCTCCTCGTTGAGATTGCAGCTGCCTTCGCGTTGTGAAGAGTCTTGGCTCTCGCCCCTGCTACCGTCGACCGAGGCCAGGCCTGGCTGATGGGGAGACGTTTCGGGAGGAGGGACTGGCCCAGTGGGCGAAGCATCGAGCTGGAATCGGCGATACATCGCCGACAGGTCGGCGATAGAACCCCGAGTGAACATCTGCACCCGATTCCTCGGCGGCGTGGGCTGCTTGGCCCCCCTCGGCGATGAGCAGGCCGTCTGGGGTCGATGCATTCCTGAAGGGGCCCTGGGACACACAAATACATACACACATATCACCAGGATTCCCCATATTTTCATATTTTCTGGGTTTTCGTCTCCCCCCCCACTTCCCATATTTTCCCATGTTTTCCTGGGAGTCGACGATCAATTGTGTCTGTGTTTTTTTCCCTCCTGCATTCCCCCCCCTGAGCCGATCCCTCCCCTGGCGAGCTCCCTGGCTCATGCGGCGTGCGAGCCTGAGCATCGAGACCCTCACACGGGATCGAGGGTACCCGCCTCCGCTGCCGCAGCCGTTCCTCGCCCACCTGGCGCCGGTGCGACCTCCTTATTGTCAATATTTTTCCATATCTTCCTGGGAATCGACGATTGCTTGTGTCTGTGTGTTTTCTCCCCTCCTGACTTCTCTGGAACCAGCTTCGCTCTTCGCTGCTCCCCTCCTGAGCTCTGAGCATCGTCTGACCAGTCCCCACCCCCACGAGCATGGCCCTGGCGCCACTGGCCGACTTGCCCCCAAAGGTCGGGATTTATGCAGCACCCCGCAATTGCGGATAACAGTGAGGGGGCGGGCGCGGGCGGGGTCACGGCTGGGTCGTCGCGGGTGGGTCGCATGTGGACCGTGGGCGGGTCGCAGGTTGGTCGCGGGTGGGTCGCATGCTTGTGGGTCGTTGGCGGGTCGCGGGTCGGGTCGGGGGCCGGGCCGCGAATGGGACGACGACACCAAAGACAACAACAACCACACAAACAACATCATCAACAACAACCACAACCACAACAACAACACAACCGCCACCAACAACAACAATAATTTTAAGACTGTTCTCTCTTATTTGCTCGAATGTCATTCAACGTGTATTCTCCAAACCCTCGCTACCCGCTCTCTTCGTCTTCGATCGTACCCCTTTCGGGGGGTAGATCGACAACCCGACCCCAAGAGGGACGGACAGGGAACCGACCACGACGACGACGACGACGACGACGACGAGCGAGAGCGAGAGCGAGAGCGACAGCGGGGCCACGAAGGGCATGCGTATTGGGCCACGAAGGGCAGATAGTGCGGGGCCACAGAGGGCAACGACAAGGCCACTGAAGGTAGCAACGGGGCCTCGTAGGACAGCGAGGGGGCCACAAATGGCGACAGCGGGGCCACGAAGGGCATGCATATGGGGCCACGACGGGCGCGAACGAGCGGGGGCCACGAAGGGCATACGTGTATTGGGCCGAAGAGGGCACAGACGGGGCCACTGAGGGCAGCAACGGGGCCACAAAGGGCAGCGATGGGGCCACAAAGGGCGACAGCGGGGCCACGACGCGCACGCATGTAAGGCCACGACGGGCGCGAACGAACGGAGGCCAGGGCATACATGGTCCAGGGCTTGCCCCCCCCCCCCCCCAATGCTGATGCCATTGCCCCCCCCCCCCCCCCCGCCCCCCCGTGGGCGTGGCGTGCTGCGCTGCGGTGCCCCCCCCCCCTGTGGATGTGGTGTGGTGCTGTGGTGGTTCAGAAGTGGGCGTGGCGTGGTGCTGTGCTGCGGTGCCCCCCTCCCCCCCCATGTGGATGTGGTGTGGTGCTGTGGTGGTTCAGAGGTCGTCGTCGTCGTCGTCGTCGTCGTCCTCGTCGTCCTCGTCGTCCTCGTCGTCCTCGTCGTCGTCGTCGTCATCGTCATCGTCGTCGTCGTCATCGTCGTCGTCGCCGTCGTCATCGTCGTCATCGTCGTCGTCGCCGCCGCCGTCGGCGTCGTCGCCGCAGCCGTCGTCGTCGTCGTCGTGGTCGTCGTCGTCGTCGCCGTCGTCGTAGTCGTCGCCGTCGTCGCCGTCGCCGTCGTCGCCGTCGTCGCCGTCGTCGTCGCCGTCGTCGTCGTCGTCGTCGTCGTCGTCGTCTCTGGGACCATACCATCTGGGGGGGGGCCCGAGGAATCCTGGGACCATACCATCTGGGGGGGGGGCCGTGAACCCTCGACCCTGGATCATACATACATGGGGCCGCGAAGGGCAGCGAGGGGGCCACGAAGGGTTGCAACGAGGCCACGAAGGGCAGCGAAGGGGGGCCACGAAGGGGTGTAACGGGGCCACGAAGGGCAGCGAGGGGGGCACGAAAGGCTGCAACGGGGCCACGAAAGGCAGTGAGTGGGCCACGAAGAGCTGCAACGGGGACACGAAGGGCAGCGAGGGGGCCACGAAGGGCTGCGAAGGGGCCGCGAAGGCCAACGAGGGAGCGGAAGGCTGCAACTGGGCCACGGAAGGTAGCGATGGGCCACGAATGGCTGCAACGGGTCCACAAAGGGCAGCGCCGCGAGGGGACCACGAAGGGCTGCAACGGCGCCACGCAGGACATCGAGATCCCGATTCCTCAGTAATCTGCAAGGGAGTCCTTAGCGTGAGCGCGACGCCTGAGTGTCGGGAGCGCGGCGCTTGTTGAGGAAATTGCGGGGAGCTCCAACGCAAGAGCGCGATTTTAAAGTAATTGCCAACACATTTCCACCGAGCGCGCGCCTCCAAGGCGCCGAGAGAGCGATTCCTGACTTCATT